TAATTTCAGTGGCTTAATTTTAGTCAGATCAACTTTATATATCTAAAGTTTCAACTTCAGTAACTTTAAATACGACATATACTGCAACGATAATAATATAGTATTGGCATTAATTAGTAGTTCTGCTTTTCTTAATAAAACCACGATTTTTCTATAAATTATTGCTTCACTCTAATATTTAGTAAATACAGAGCCTTATTAAATATTAATTCGACCCTAAGAGAATAAATAGTAATATTTCCCTTATTAAACTTAAATTCACGCATATACTTTCTTGTTAACTATCTGTGGATAGTTACACACGTCATTTATTTTTATCCACCTATAGTTACAGCGTACGTACAGTACTACAAATTCCGAATATCAAATTTGCGCAAAGATTGTCTATCAATGCCGAGCGTTACACCGATCATCTTAATGATATATAATGTAAGAGAAAATAAGACTAAATTGGAAGTCTTGAATATTGAAAGAAAACGAAAAAAAAGTAGCCGGAACAAATAATGATCCTAGTGATGGTAAAAATGGTAAATTATTGATCCATCCAGCATCTGAATAGGTTTCCTTCACATCTCACATATTACCAACGCGACAATACACGAGTTATTGTCTATAATTATTAACGAAAAAAGACAAAAGATTATACAATGCTAGCCTATTTGTTACAATAATTGTGAAAGGGTAGGGTATGTAGTGCGACAGAGTTCGGAAATTGAAAAAATCAGTCGACTGATGAATGAAATCTTGGTCTATTATTATATGCGTAAATGAATCTTAAGTCGATCAATTATTCAAAAATTTTACAAACCTGATTTTAAGTTAGATTTTCATGAATTATATATTTTATGAATTCATTTCTCTCAGTTTTAGTTTTAATATATACAATTTTTTTTATGCCATTAACGTGTAAATGTTTATTATAATAACGTCAAAGGGCAAAGTTATTTGCTCTTAGAATAAAGGAAAGGATTGGCAATATTATTGATAACTTTGCAATACCTAAACTTAAGTGACTCTCGAAATTGATATTTAAAGATTCAAATTCGTTAGCATTGTTGGAAAAACTCGATCCCGAGATAAAATAATAATTCCATACGACTATATTAGTGACCATTTGTTAACGGAATCATCTATTGATTGACAAAATGCAGAAGTTTAGTGCAGGGAACGTTAATCTAAATTAAGTAAGGTATGGGTATTAGTGGTTACAAGATAAAGCAGTAACATTAAAGAGAAACACTTAGCTTTAATTATCGATTAAGATCGTGATCGATAAATAGTTGATTAATGATCTTGATGAAAGAACAATTAATGTAATTTAAAAGTCAAAGCCGAATATGGTAAAAAAAAAAATTTATAAATGCGTATCTTTAGCATATAAGTGAAGTAATAATAATAATGATAAACTGGAAGTAAGAGAGTCACTTACCATTAAATTTGTATTTACTTTTTAGAGTTTAATGCATATACACAATTTATGATTCACCCTTGCGGCTGCAGTATGAATAATCAAAACAGAAATATACAGTAGAAGCGTTTAAATCTACTTTAAGGCATAAAAAAAATGTCAAAGGTGTAGTTTTAATAAATATTACTAGCTCTAATTCTAAACTGCTTCATTTAATAATCCTATAAAAAAAACCAAGTTAGAATTCACCGTGAAACATTATCGGTTATGTTGTTTCAAATTCTCATGAAGCCAATTTAATCAATATGAACATTTTTCATACTGATCAAATTTTAATTATGAATGATATGCGCTTTTATGCTATACCATAAGAATATTTAAAATGAATTTTTTTTTTTTTTTTTTTAGTAAAGCAATATATTTCAATGACTTGAAAACACTTTGAATTAACGTAGTAGTAATGAATTCTTTTGATTTTCATAGTGACTACTAATATTGGTTCGTTTTAGTACTGTATTAATTCTTTTTGCTGATCAGACCTTCATTCATCGTCATTGATTTCCTATTTAATATTTATCCACATGACATCGTATGCCATACAAACGGATCTCCTATGTAAAAGAACTATAAATGGTTATCATCTGAAATATAAGGTAAATATTAAATTCGACAAGATCATATTAATATTTTTGTTCTATATGAAATAATATGACTTTTATTAATACTCTAATATAAAAAATTAAGTAAAACGAATTTGTTTCTTTTTTTAAAAAAAAAAGAAAAAAGGTGGCTTTTGTGAAAAAAATAAAGTGAATAAAAATTATTATTATTATTATTATTATTATTATTATTATTATTAAACGCTAGGACGTTAAATAGAATTGAGAGCAATGAATGATCAATCACTAGAAATAGTTGCTACTGATGAAGTAGGACATATGAATTTTGTTGACAATGAGCAAAATACAAATTTTGAAACCGATTCAATACAATTAACGTTAGAAACAATAAACGAAGATGAAGAAAATTTAGTAAGCAAAGATTCAACAATAGAAAGACACTCAGGCGACGTTAATGAAAATGATATTAGGCAAAGAGCTGTAAACGATTTATCTGAAGAAAAAAATGTAAATCCTATAGCTGTGACTGATCGGAAACCAACGAGACCAACAAGGAAGAGGAGTTATCAATTGCGTGCTTTGGTGAATATTTAAATAATTTGACTAGATTTTAAAATTGACTGTCTACTGTAAAT